GGCCCCCCCTCCGCCTGGGCAGGTGGCGGAGGGGCAGAAAGCCCCTGGCCCATCCGTGAGCCGCTGCGGGGGGCCGCGAGCTGGCCCACGTTTGGATTTCGCTCTAAAATTGCTGTGTCTGTAGTCAGTCCCGCTGCTATTTTTGATACAGATGCCTTATTGAGATTCAAACGAATGTTTCAAATCCTCACTCCTTTGCATAATTCTTTTTAATTAACACTTCAAAGGTTTAAAAAGCGAGAGCCGTGACATTTCCCTAACGAAGTTGCACCGAACCTCCTCTAACCCCCGAGCTCCCCCTCCGCGGTGCCGAGGGCTGGGGTGGGAATTGGGCCCCCGCGGGACCGGGGCGCCGCTCTCCCCCTCCATATCTCAGCGACGCGGCGGCGCAAAGCGACACGGGGGAAAGGAAAGTCCGCGCGGGCGAGCAGAAGTGCTCGCTGTGCTGCAGAGGGGTGCAAGCTGCAGAGGGGTGCAAACGTGCGGGGATGTGCAGGGACGAGGGCGAGACTGGAGATGTGTGACGGGGCCAGGGGAAATCACTGCTGTCCTCTCCCGCTGCAGTGACTGCCATCAGGGCGCCGAGCACCGGTGGCAGCTGCGCCGGCGCTGCAGCCCACGTCAAAGCAGCAATGAAATCATCACAGGATCACCCTTGAAATCGGGTAATTTAAAGTGAAGATAGTTAAGACCTCTGCTCCCCCATCCCCTGCCCCAGCGTCACCCGCTGCTGTAACACAGCCCGCGTCTGCACAGATCTACCAAAACTGAATGAAGAAATCTTGGCCTCTGGGGTGCATTTTGGTCACGTTTCTGAACTTCTTGGCAAGCAGAAGGCCTAGAAACACCTCCCTTCCTTCTTATGCGCTTTTCAAATGAACACCGAAATTTGCATGCAATCACGTTTGCTAATGTGATATAGGTGCAGGATGGAAAGTGCGAGCGCAGCTCCCCATCCTGCCATTGACCCGTCTCTGCGTCCAACAGGCTCCTCGGGGCCTCGAGTGGCATCAGCCTCGACTGGTAGGATGAGGACGCTGAAGATCGGCATGGCACAATAAATGTGGAAAAAGCTTCAGTTTTAATTCCTGCAAGTGCAGAAATGATTAGACACAACAAAATTGTATAATTAGGATTTAATAAGACACTGTCCCAGACATGCAAAAGAAGTAGGTTAGACAGTGGCCTTTGTTCAGCTACAAAAGACGTTAATTTGCAAATGCTCTTAATATTCATTTTTTTGTTATTTAGACTGATGTTTTGAAAGTCTCTGATAAAATGAGAAATCTGGACTACGCATTACAGTTGCATTTCCAAGCACAGGAATCTAGCTTTGATGTTCCCCTTGATAACATCTTTTTAGAGCCTTGACTGCATCAAATTAAATTCTGATTACTCTGATAGCGCAATACAGCTTCCAAATGTATTCAGGTGACTTTTTGTTCTCAAAGGAAATTAGCTATTTTGACGAGGATGCTTGTTAGATAACAGAGAGATGGGGAAGAAATACCCTTGCGAGAGCAGAAGCATGTTCCCGGCCCACGATTTAAGCATTAGAGCTGCAATCTTAGGGTGCTTAATTGAGCCAAACTCCCCGGCCCAAGATCTGCACCGCTCCGGGCAAGGGATGGACGCGCTAGGCATTAAACCCATCCCGAAGCGGCCATCCCAGGAGGAGGGGCTCCCTACCACGGACAAGGAAACGCGTCCCAGGCAGACTGCAGCTCGACTCACCACTTCGGAGCTGCCTGCGATGCCCGCGGCGCAGGGCCAGGTCCCTCGAGCCGTCCTCATCCTCGTCCACCTGCACGTGGGCGCAGCGATCCCGCGGCGGTACCTGCTTCTCGGCCCAGGGCTCCCCCTTCCACGGAGCAGGCGCCGCTCCTCGGTCCGATGCTAGGACAAAAATAAAGCGCAAATATTTTTGTTGGCAGAGATTACCAACTCCCCCACTGTGATTTAGGCATCTTTAAACTTCATGTTTTATTAATCTTCACCGTACGGTTAACGGCACCCGAAACGTTATGTCTGCAAACAAAGGCATGCGTGACGGCATTATCTATACGCGACCCCAGGCGCTCGGGCGCTCGATTGTAAACACGCACGTTAATGAATTGTACGGCGAAGCTAAAGGAAAGACGAAGACAGGAGTCACCCACCTGAGCGCCTCCTCTCGCTGCCGTTCTGTGCCGGACCGACGGCCGAGAGCGGCCGCTTCCCCGCCGCGAGCCCCACAACTTGCTGCCAGGGCAAAGCGCCCCCTC